ATTTAAAAGCCTATAAAGTGCGTCCTCCACTTATTTCAGAAGCTCTGCTGTAACTCTGTTATCGCCCTTGTGCTTTGTTTTATTCTTTAGCTGTTTTTATTGATGTGTAACATCTTTTCTCTCGCTTTCGTGCAATTTGTGGGAGTGATTACGTGAAGTGGGCTCAGACCAAATAAAAAGTAAAGACGGAGTCTGCCGAACCAAAAAGTGAAGCCGGTTTTTTATGTATGTAGTGCATTAGCCAGTGTTACCATAGTCATATAAAACACCCCAATATTAGAAAAATGTAATAACGTTTAAATCTAAAGAAAATATAACTAGAAAAAATTTCACGCGGACCAGGCAGCAGACGGGACTCGAACCCGCACCCTTCGCAATCCGGGCGAATGCACTGACCAATTATGCTACCGCGGCCCTCACGGACCGCGTCGAAATTCCTTCTAGCTATTCTTAAGCTGCAAGGCAGCGCCATCTCTTCGCATTATAGGTAAACCCACGCTTTTACCACCACCACCCACGCGGTTACATGCTTTAAAAATAATAAAAATTGTAAAAATTGTAAAAATTGTAAAAATTGTAAAAATTGTAACTGTAATAACGTTATTTCATAACGTTATTACATTTTTAATAACGTTATAAAATATTAGAAAAAAATATCGTAAGCTTATTCTCTAAACCTCTCGTGAGCCAAAGGTATACGTACACCGTTCTCACCTACAAGTGCCGGACTTCTTTATGGACCGCCCGCCCGCTGGGTGGGAACGATTGCATTGTTCTGCCGATTTCTCTGTTATTTTGTAAAAATACCATTCACAAACGTATATTTGGATTCTCCATAAAATTTTCAATAAAACAGTGTGTACACAATGCGTCATGTCTATAATTTATTTTAAATACATTATGGTAAACTCAGGAAAGATAATAAAAAATCGTTTAAATAGGTAAAATGAGGTGTATTTTCAAAATTTATAAATTATAAATCCAGGTTTTTGTACATATAGAATGTACTATATATGAATGAATGTATATAATAACTTACCAAATACAATTATAAAATATAACACGCAACAGAAAAAAAAGGGTCGTGTTGCAAGTGTTGATAAAAACAAATGCGAGATCCAAGTGCCTTGATTTATGTGTTGACGTTTAATTATGTTGGATTGATTATTTTACTTTAGTTACAAGTCTCGGATGGAATAGGTTTGTTCATTTTATAGTTTTAAGCACTCGCAACAAGGCACTTGAAATCGCTTACAAATCAGTCATCTCAACTTTATGTCGATAAAACGAAAAGCATATACAAATGTTGATAAACAGTTTCTTTTATTAAAATGTACATGAAATTTTCTATAGAATACACAAAATATAATCACTAGTTCCTATACAAGAACATAATAAAATAAATCCACAAACATCGCGAATTTGGGTCAAAAAGGCCATTAAAAAGTACAATACAAATAAAATTACAAATATATTATTATTTTACAAATCGTCGCTCTGAAAATGAGTCGAACAAACCACGCTGCGGGAAGCTGGTTGCCACAATGGTGCATTTCTACTCTTACGAATGACTGCAATCCACTTCTCTTTTAGATCTTGATCTCGATTAGGAAATCTTAAAAAGAACGTATATTAAATAATGTGTATTACATCCCAAAAAATTTATACGAATACATAAAGAAAAAAGATGTTTCGTGTAATTGTATATCCATGCATTACAATATTCGAATAATATAAAAGTATGCCACACAATGTATATAATAAAATAACGTTACGTTATATTTCACGCTACCCAACAAAAGGGTAAAACTGTAACGAATAATCATGGCAACATTTCGTTCAGGTTTTGTTTACAAAGCGACAACCTCAAATTTGATTTTGATTAATTGAAAATAGCAGTTTATAACTTTACTTACGTATGAAATGTGATTCCATCCTGTTTTTTATTCTTGGAAGATTGGTTTTTACACGTTTTCACTACACAATTCGGCATTTTCTCTAATAAATATTGTTATTTATTATTACGTCACACTCCGCGCGTCGGGATAACTCGACTGAGAAGCCAAGGCGTAGTTTCGTTGCATGTGTGTGCGTGTAACTGTGTATGTACACGGCGAGGCGTAGTTTTATCGGCTTCACTTTTTGGTTCGGCAGACTCCGTCTATACTTTTTATTTGGTCTGAGGAAGTGGGTCGGAAGTGTGTAACAGGAAGTTTGGGAAGCGCGCTATTTGATTTGATTTTAGAACATAATGTTCTAATGGCTCATTCCTTTTGTAGTAGGTTTTATTTCTTTTTTTACTAATATAAGGTGAGGTTTCAAATGTTACACATCATACGCAACTACTGTAAGGCTCGCTCGTTTTTTGGAAATCTTGTTGTATATCACTGTAACTTTATGAGCTATTAATTTGAAAATGACAGTGTGGGCACTATTAGAGCAATATTTTCTGTAAAAATATGCAGTTTTCGAATACGGCCGGGTACGGTAACAATGTCGAATTTGGTCGAGTGCACGCCGTTATATACACTTTTATCTCGAAACACGTTTACACGTTCATAGATACACTATAGAAGACTCCGTCCACTTGTCTGATCTTCAAATACCTACTTTATTTCTTTCGAAACTGTTTAGTTTAATTTATTCCACATAAGCATTATTTGCAATTTTTGATATTGTTTTATAAACAAGTAAACTTATTAACACAAATCGAAGATAGTTATATTTTTATTTTAAGCATTAAACTGTTAGTAGTCCCGTCCCGTTTGCTGTTTGGCCTGCGTTTTTTTTTAGTAAAATTCTCTTTACGAATCGAAGATAATTTATACAAAGGTCAACTTTGTCCCCAGCGCAGCAGAGAATTAAGTACAGTCTAATTTCAAATATAATAAATTATTAGTTACGAGATAGGTAGGTAGGTACCTAAATATGCCTTTAATTTAACCATATTAATTGGAACAGAAAATAATAAACTAACTAAGTGACTCAGAATCAATGTAATTAAAAGGATTTCCATTAACCTAAAAAGTACTTACTTTTATACCTACTCATTATGAACCTATATTTTTATACGTACCTACGGCACTTCGGCATTTACCCTTGACTTCGCTATATCAATGTAAATTTTGAATTTTAGTAGCTAATTTAATTATTTTTAGAGAGAATGAGTAAATAAATAAATGACCACAGAGTAGTTTTTATGACACTCCCGTTATCAAAAGGCAAAGGATAGTTGGTTCATAGGGCCTTTATGATTTTTAATGATTCCTCTTTTTACAGAATACCATAGACGACTACGTCGAAATACTAATTTCACGAAGTTTTAAATCATATTTTTGGATTTTTTAAGCATTTAACTGCTAGATGTTAAAATCTAAAGAAAATTTTATAAGAAAAAGTTCCACGCGGACCAGGCAGCAGACGGGACTCCAACCCCTTCAAGGCATTTTTCATTTTACGACCAATTAACCAAATCCCCTTTTCTGAAATCACACTGTAGATTAGTAATCTAGCGTAATCCTCAACTGGAAAGTAAATTTAACATTCTCTCCTCGTTCTGTATAGAGAGTGACATCGATGGACTGTTGTCAATTTTAAGTTTAGATTTGGAGAATTATACCAGAATCGACGCCACTGTTCTTAATCGCAGATTTACATAAATAGCAAATACTAACAGTCATGTGAAGAGCTGGCATTAGGTGTGGTACAATACAACCGACAACTGCATCTACGTTATTTTATTATCTGAGGGAGTTGGTTGCAGTGTTGCCAACTCTACGTCTTTTTACGTAGATCTACGTATTTTAGGCCTTTTCTGCAAACCTACTAACTTCAGTCCCAAAATCTACGTATTTTCTTTTAATTTGTACAAATTTGCAAAATAACATAACTCACTAGAATAGGGAAGCATATTTTCCGTTACTTATAAACTATACAAATGTTTATTTCTTATAGTTTTGGTACGAGGAACTTAAATACATCGATTTCACTTCATAAAATCAGAAGATGGCTGTAGTAATCTTATTTGAAAAACATATTTTTAACTTTTTAATCACTGAAAACGCTGTCCGCCCTGATTGTGACGTCACAAAATTTGTAAACAACTAAACGTCATTGTTGTGTTACTATGGTTCCTTTCGTCGGACTAAAATATATCTAAAGACTCTTATATCTTGTAGAAGAGTTTCCGTTTATTGTTTTTGTTGACTAAATTAATGCTGAACGCCGAATTTGTAAAAGCAGAAACGACAAAGCTCTCTTACTTAGTAGGTACATTAATAAACTTAAAAAATTTATTTTTATACTTAAAATATTATTGAATCAGTACTTAAACCGAAGTGATCTTTGCAAAAAGAAATGGCTTTAATGTTTCTACACATGAACACATGTTTAAAACTTGCTAAATCCTGTAACTTTAAAGTTAGATATGTTTATTTCTCTGGGCAATTTAAACCACATTTTTTCTGGAGTCTTTAACGTTGTGATTCTACATTCTCGCATAATACAATCATGATAATTACTACAATACATTGTTTTCGGTCTAATATAACAATTATTAACCATTTAAAAAAGATTTTCAAAAAGTGTCAACTACCCTATTTGATAACAGTGTGTTCTTGTCATTCTTTATACAGAATGAAAAGGAGAGTTAAATTTAGTACTTAGTTTGGAGAATTATGGCAAAATTGACACCTAGCAGCGTCAGTGTCTGTCTGATGGTAAATGTCTACCACAGCATGGTAAATGCTGCCAATGTAGCGTCTTCTCCAAGAATTCTATATTCTATCTCCTTTATTAAAATAAATTGTATAAAATTCTCGTTTTATGGTTTTTCTCTCAGAAAAAAAAACGTAAATTTACGAACTTTTCATATGCAAATTTTACTAATTCTACGTAATTTTGTCATCGCGCCTACGCCTTTTTCAAAATCCGAGTTGGCAACACTGGTTGGTTGGCCTAAATAACAAATCTGCCAGTAGTCTGTGCTGTGATAGTTTCTAGGTATACTTACTTTTTACTCTTTGGTTTCTAGTTTATTTTCACATACATAGCATTTTTGTTTGTTGTATTGTAACAAGTTATGTGAACCAGTTTGTTGGAAGCTAATATTTCTCGAGAAATAAATAATTTGGTGTTTAAAACGTCAACGATTAAAGTTTTCCGAGAAAGATGTCTGTTGCTTTTGCACCGCGGGGTAATAGGCCCCCATTGAATCCGGCTCAAATTCAAAAGATGCTGGACGAAAATGCTCATCTCATTCAGACTATTCAAGATTATCAAGCTAAAGGGCAATTAATGGAATGTTATCAGTATCAGCAGATGCTACACAGAAATTTAGTTTATTTGGCTTCTATTGCAGATGCAAATCAAAACCTCCAAACACTACTACCGGTAAATGAAGTAATATATAATAATCGAATTATTTTCTTATTTTATTTATGTTCGGGGATTTAATTAAAATATAAGTAATCAAATAAATTGATACATTACAGCCTCCACATCCATTAGCTTCAGGAAATGTACCTCAAGGACCACTCAACCCTCCCTCAACTGGAGAATCGTCACAGCAGCAATACCGACCGCCTCCTGGAGTTTCAACCACTCCAACAAGACCAACTCAGAGTTATGGTCAAAGACCGTATGCCCAAAATCAATATCAAGGCCAATATCAAGGTGCACCTAATGTTTATCCACCTCAAGCAGCCTATGGTCCGCCTGGTCAGGGTTATGGTCCACCAAACCCTCCACAGTCGCAAGGATATCCTCCAAATTCCACTTATGGTCCACCAAGTACTACAGCCCCCAATAATTATCCATCTTCTACTCATCCTGGATCAGGTTATCCGCCCTCCACAGTTCAACAGCCTTATGCACCACCTCCAGGAAGCCCTGTAGGTGCAGGGTCACCTTATCCTGTACGTGCAGCTTCTCAACCAGGTTACACAGGGAATTCAGCATACCCTCCTCAGTCTGGTGCTAATTACCCTAATGTAGGTGTAAGTACATATAATTCTACTGCTTCCCAGCAACAAACGTATCAATCGCAACCATTTCCCAACACAACACCTACATACAGCTCGACTCCAACTTCACAGCCCAATAGATCACCTCAACCTCCTACAAGTGGATATACATCACAAAACCCAACTAGTTCAGGATATGGGTCTCCTTCAGCTCAGTCACCAACTTACAATTCTAGTTCTCATCCAAGTTCTGCGCCTCCATCTACAGTGGCATCTTCAACCCCAGCTCCAGGTGGACCCCCTTCACAACAGTACCCTCCTCCAGGACAACCATCTCCATATCCACCAGCCAGTCAACCTCCTTATTCTAATCCTTCATCCCAACCTGGTAGTCCCGCACCATCTGTTTCAACATCAGCACCTCCACAGGGCTCTTATCCTCAAAACCCACAAAACTACCCACCAGCTGGTGGTGCTTATCCGTCGCATGCTTACCAACAGGGTTATCCGCCTGCTCAATATCCACCTTCACCATATCCATATGCCAGACCACCTGCACCTGGTGCCCCACCACCTGGTGCACCGCAACCTTACCCTGGTTATGGGTTTCAACCACCTACTCAGCAATAAGGAAATGAAAATATAATGTCAATCTGTTAACTCATACCCCCTTATTAAAAATGTGGTGCAAATCTAGACTCATTTTAAATCAAATGCTGTCTCAGTCTTCTCTTTAGCAAACAAATGTGACAGTATTATTTTTAAACTGGGTTAACCTTCAGTCAATGTTTTCTAATAAGAAATGTTTTACATAATATTGGGACCAATTCTGGCGTTACATTCTCTAAACCTAAACTTAAAATTAGAGTGCTAATTTTAGTTTAGGGTTAGAGAATTGGTATTCTGAAATGGCTAACTAACTAAATTAAGAGAACAGTTGACAGCTGTAAACGAGCATCTAAATTGAATTCACAGATTGTGTACAAGCATTGAACCGGTAATTATCGGTTTACTCAAATTAGCAATAATTACTTATTATTCAGTAATTTTGACTTATTTTTTATTTTATTTAAGTAAATCTTTGTTGTTCTTCATCATCTTTGAAATATGAAAACTTAACATAACTTTGTTATTTTACTGTATGAGAAATTATGAATCAATAATATTAAAGAGTGAATACTTGCCTACTCTGTGGTACTTAGGGTTTCTAGATTGGGAGTGTTTATCCTTATTTTGGGGAAAAATAAGAACTTGAAGAAATGTAATCTGCGGGGAGAACTTAAGGAATCATATTTTTTCTTTGAAAAAGCCAAGTATTTACATGGGCTAAACGATGTGACGAAAAAAAATTACAAAGAAGTGCATCGAACGAGCAATTAGGTAGGTACCATTGCGCCGTGATGCAGTCTAATCATTCAGATGAAGTAAATAAGGTAAGTGTACTCGTCCGAGCAAAAACGTTTATTGTTTTGGCACTACGATTGCCCGGCGGCACCGCGCCGGCGCTGTATTCATGCAACGGGCCGTGGCCGAGCCGAGGCGGGACCAAGTTTTTTCCGAGCGTTGTTTCATTTGTTGCTCGGTTGTCAGTCGGTTACTGCATGACAACCGAGCATATAGCGTATAAATAGCGTGAATGTTATATTTTACATGGATTATGTCCATAATCATCAAATCATAAAATAAATTATTTAATATTAGTTAACTAGAGAAGTTCGATGGCGCAGACGATTAGCTCGTTCGGCTGCGATCGTTGAAGTTAAGCAACTTTCGCAGTGGTCGGTCATTGGATGGGTGACCAAACATCTTCTATGTCGAGTTCCTCGTTCTCCCGGCTGCATCTGCAGTCGTTAGCACCCGCCAATCCGCACTGGGCCTGCGTGGTGGGTCATGGCCTAATCTCTCTATTTCATCCATAGGGAAGGCCTGTGCCCCAGCAATGGGGACATTAATAGGCTGATGATGATGATGATGATTAGTTAACTCTGCTACGGCCGACAGGGTCTAACGTGAACCATCCTTGAAAATTTCTCGCATCGTAAATTCCCAATCCAGCGTATCTATCTAATACCTATAATTTCGGTTTCGGTAAGAGGTTGTAAAATTATCCCTTCGGCTGTTTTGTGAAGATTTTATTCTCATTTATTGTATAATCCGAGATGCGTAACCTATTTTTATCTTTTTTGTTTCTATCAGTTTTTGGCGAGATCATCCCAATTATTCATTTGGTGAAGATGCCCAGTTTAGGATATATAAAAACAAACTTTTCAATTACAAACAGTAGGTACTTATTTCGTGTTTTAAGAAATATGATTAGCTTATAAAAAGTTGGAAATAAAAACATTTCTAACTAATAGGTATTAAAACTGCTTCATAGAAACAAAACCACATAAAACAAAGGTACAAATAATACATTAAAGTCTAAAGTACCTACATTTAAAGTCAAAACAACAATTGGATGGAATGCAAATCACTGACACCATACCTCTATTATCTTGTTAATTATTTGACTATGTACTTTAGATGTAAGTAGGATCTGTAAGTATTACTTATAGAATTAGTACATAGATTTTTTACCTTTTTAGGTTGTTTTTATATGAAGTGGATTTTTATTTATGTTATATAAGATTTTACCTTAAATTATTTAGTATTTTATACAAGATATACGTGTACATTACCTACGAAAGACCACAATAGCGCAAGTGTAACGCTTTCGTTCTGCGATCGTGAATGTTAAGCAATTTTCACAATGGCCATTCTTAGGATGGGTGACCAACCCAAAATAAATTAAATCGAGTTCCTATGTTGCTGCTCGCTGCAGCTCGGATTTATTATAAGCAGGACACATTAATAGGCTTATAATAAATCCGCATCGTAACATAGATCCACCTACCTTTTAAAAAAAAATAAAAGATCTAGCTAATATATTATTATCACCATCGTTGTTCATTATTGTATAAAATTTATGTATTTTTTTAACGAAATAAACCCATATCCAACCTTAACAACAAGTTCAAAACTTAAGTACAGCAATCATTTACGTGATATTTGGCCCCAATTATTCACATTTAAATTTAGAGAGGACCTCCGTAGGTCCTTCTTAAATTTAGTGTGACATTTCTAATTTTAGAGAAAATATGACATTTAGAACGCGTTTCAGAATACCATTTAATCATCTAAATCTAAGTTGAATAACTTAGCAACGTCAATTTTAAATTTAGAGATAGAGTGTCATTACAGAATACCAAATTGAATTTGACAACTCTATATCTAATTTTAGTTAGTTTTAGATATAAGTTGGCACGCCAGAATTGGGCCCATTGTAATACTTATCATAAGTTAGGTAGATACTTGTCTTTTTTATAATGACAAAGTTTGATTTTGTAGTGTATATCAATAAAATTAGGTTGGTGTTGTATTATAATGACAGAAGCAATTTATTTGCTCTTTTTAATAAATGCTATGAACTGAAAATTTGTTATATTTAAGTAGAATTTAACTCTTACATTTTAATATGGTATAAATTAAATCAATTTCTATGAATCTGTTAATTTAATTTCACCTGTCTCACTCGTGTGTGTTGGTAATTGTAAGATTGCTAGTTTTCAAAAAATTACACAATTTACACCGCCGCGGAAACACGGACATAGCTAGGGGGGTCATTGTGGGGCAATGCCCTACCTTGAAATCGCAATACCATATCTTAAAAATACCAAAAACTAAGATAACTTTTTATAATTAAATTGATTGTTCCTAGTTTGATATAAAAAAATAGTAGCAATAGGTACCTAACATAGCACAGTTTGTGACATTTAATATTATAATCTCAGACCAAATAAAAAGTAAAGACGGAGTCCGCCGAACAAAAAAGTGAAGCCGATAAAACTACGCCTCGCCGTGTACATACACAGTTACACGCACACACATGCAGCGAAACTACGCCTTGGCTTCCCATTCGAGCTATCCCGGCGCGCGGAGTGTGACGTAATAATAAAAAACAATATTTATTAGAGAAAATGCCGAATTGTGTTGTGAAAACGTGTAGAAACCAATCTTCCAAGAATAAAAAACAGGATGGAATCACATTTCATACGTAAGGAAAGTTATAAACTAATATTTTCAATTAATCAAAATCAAATTTGAGATTGTCGCTTTGTAAACAAAACCGTAACGAAATGCTGCCATGATTATACATTACAGTTTTACCCTTTTGTTGGGTAGCGTGAAATTTAACGTAACGTTATAATTTTTATTATTTTTAAAGCATGTTACTGCTTGATGTTTAAATCTATTGAAAACATAACTAGAAATTTGTTTAATACTTGTTAAAGTATTCATTTGACATTGTGGGTTACCTATAATGCGAAGAGATGGCGCTGCCTTGCAGCTTAAGAATGGCTAGAAGAATTTCGACGCGGTCCGTGAGGGCCGCGGTAGCATAATTGGTCAGTGCATTCATCCGGTTTGCGAAGCGTGCGGGTTCGAGTCCCGTCTGCTGCCTGGTCCGCGTGGATTTTTTTCTAGTTATATTTTCTTTAGATTTAAACATCAAGCAGTTACATGCTTTAAAAATAATAAAAAATATAAATAACGTAACGTTATTTTATTAAATACATTGTGTAGCATACTTTTATATTATTCGAATATTGTAATGCATGGATAAACAATTACACGGAACATCTTTATTATCTTTTTTCTTTATGTATTCGTATAATTTTTTTGGGATGTAATACACATTATATATTATACGTTTCTTTTACGATTTCCTAATCGAGATCAAAATCTAAAAGAGAAGTGGATTGCAGTCATTCGCAAGAGTAGAAATGAAGCATTGTGGCAACTAGCTTCTCGCAGCGTGGTTTGTTCGTCTCATTTTCAGAGCGACGATTTGTACTACACAACAAAAGGGTTACGTCGTGTAAAATAAAATGCATATCCAAGGGTATTTTTTTTACTTAACTTAATATGGTTACTTAGGTTAATTTATATTTTAAAGATTCCAATAATTCTACAGTCGTGCAGACGGTTGAAACACAAAATTACACCAATTATATTTCACAATATTCACTATGAACGAATTTAAGTATAATTAAAATATGACGCTAACCGCACTTCATGAAATCCCGCCAAAAACTCCAAAGGTTAGCTTTGTTTTTATTATATATTTTTTAAGTAAACTTTTATTAGTGTAACAGTTATTAAACTTAAAAATCACAGGAACCCCAGATCTCCAAGCGCATGACCTTTGGCTCACGAGAGCTTGGATCTAGCGATAGTGTAAAACTAATTAGAGATAAGCATACGATAGTTTTTCTATCATTTTATAACGTTATGAAATAACGTTATTACATTTTTCTAATATTGGGGTATTATAAATGACTATGGTAACACTGGCTAATCCAGTACATACATAAAAAACCGGCTTCACTTTTTTGTTCGGCAGACGCCGTCTTTACTTTTTATTTGGTCTGAGATTATAATATTTCTTTGTTCTGTGTATAATAGATGGCATTTGAAGCGCCATCACATGAAGCGATGGGTCTATCTGTGATGCAGAGAGTATTCCACATGCTATTAATAAATAAAAATATTTATTTCAAGCAACATAACTCATAATCATAATAATAATACATAATCACTTACAATAGAAATAGGCACATGTCACTAAAAATACAATTTATCATTTATTTAATTAAAAAATTAC